AAACTAAAACTTTAAAGTTTTATTACTCAAAAGTTTACTAATAATTTTAAAAAAATTTTTATAATAAAGTTTATAAAATATATTTTTAAGAATATATTCTATAATAAATAGAGTTTTAGTAAGAATAACTGACAGTAATTATTACCAGTGTATAATTAGCCAATAATGATAAACCAAAAAATATCTTATTTCATTTACTTTAGAGTTAGAATAAGGCCTGAGATTTTAGCAAAGTATTAAATATATACAAAATTTAGCAAAGAATTTTTTTGTTAGAATGTCAAAGGTAGTTTTATAGACAAATTTTTGAGATATCAGCATTTTTTAAAAAAAATCTTTATTGTTATTACACAAATTGATTTGCATATTATCCTTTAAACCGTCTACTTAAGCAGACAAATTTGTTTGCTTAAATAATTTAATAAAAATAAAGCATAAAAAAATTTTATGACAATAATATTGATACCAATGCACATATATGTATGCATATCCATATATGTATACCAATATTAATTATGGAATACAATGGCTTTTCAAAAAATATTAAACTATCGCTGTTGCTAAATCTATTCAAATTTCATGTGATTAAATTGAAGTTAACTTGACTCAAACGACTCAAAAACCAACCAAGCCAAGCCGTTTAAAGTTCTTAATTACAAGTTAAGGATCGAACTTATTACATGTAAACTTAAAATCTTGCTCATTATAAAAATAATAAAATAAATAGCACATCTATTTATCGTCATAATTATTCTCGTTATAGTGAACCTCTTGTTATAGTGAAGAACAGTTTATTTATTGATATAGTGAAGAAAATCTCATGGCCCAATCACTTTACTATAACAAGAGTGACTTGTATAAAGTAAAAAAAATTCCTGTAACTGATTATAATAAGCCACAATCAATTATAGACTTTTGCTCTGCAGTGCCCAAATATTAATAAAGTCAGTTAGTTTATTTTAAAAACAATTTTCAAGAATTAGAATCAATTCCTTATTAAAAAAAATTAACCTTAATTTCAAAATTAAAATCAATTCTTACGATTCATTTATTTAAGAATTGATTTTAATTCTTAAAATCAGTATCAATTCTTAGCCCAAGGATTAAATAACTTAGATAAGAATTGATTAACCCTGGCCCAAAAAATGAACTTACGCCTCAATGCTCAATCTTTGAAATTGTATGTATAAATCATTCATGCTGGGTGAAATAAGCTATCCAAAATTTTAAAATACACATATGGCGTATCACTAATTTTGGGCGATAACGTTTTTTTATTTAAAATTTCTACTAAAAAAAAAAAAAATGCGTATTATTCAGAGTTATACATATGAATGCGTGAATACATACACATTGTGTAATAATTCATTATACTACACCTTGTATCGCATCTAATAAGTAAAATCATTATCTGAATAGTTTTTGTGCTTTCCTTGTTAATTTCAATAAATTCATTTTTAAAGATAATTGATAAAAGATTAGAAACATATCTCAAATTGGGATCATAATTATAAACATAAAAAAGCATAGAATTGAAACACAAAGCTGAAATCATTTTCTAATAAATATCTTCGTGAATTGCCTATCTCTAGTAAAAAAATTATTTCAGATAACATAAAATCGTTCTACTAGATAAAGTAAATTACTTAGTTAAAAACAAAATGTCTTTTAACAAACGCAAAGATAAAACTACCCTTACTAACAAACAAAGACAAGACATCATTGTACACAAAAATAAAACCCCTAATATTAGCAATGTTGAGCTTGTCGATTGGGTTAAAAAAGAGTTCAAACTTGATGTTCATCCAACTACTATTGGGCGCCTATTAAAAAATAAAGATGATATCAGAAATAATCCCTCCGCCAAAAGACAAAGAACAGTTCATCATCTGGATCTTGAAAATGCATTACTTGAGTGAGTTTTACAAAACCAAAATAGAATAATATTAAGCGATGCAATTCTAATTGAAAAAGCAAAAAGTTTTGC